AAGAGCGATGAAGACCCGATGTCTCTCTGTCTCGTGTCCGTTGTGATCAGCAGGTGAATCTGAGCTGCAGACAGTGAGGGTGTGTTTGTTTCATCCAACAGGAGCGCTCAGAGGTGTTCCAGCAGTTCTCGGTGTCTGCGTCCGGAGTCCTGCTCTGCACGGTCAGTGTTACGCATGAGAACATCATGTAAATCAAATGATGAAGGGTTACTTCCTGTTTTCAGTAGGTGGCGCTCTGACTATGATGTCATAGTAGCATGGAGATGTCTTCATTGTGGGATTGTCATCAAACACGTGAAGTTTGAGGGAGATTGAATAATGTATATTTGGGTTACAGCAACTTCCTGTTTCAAGGCGAAATGTCTAAATTCTGCCACCAGATCCACGCCATTCAACGAAAACTCACAATGAAGCATCATGAGGGTGTGAAGCATTTTCTGACTGAGTTTGGAACAGGTTGGACCATTTATAACGGAGTTATAACAACTTCCTGTTAAAAAATTTGCCACGCCACCAGAGCCACGCCCTTAAATGAAATCTCACAATTTTCACAATAAAGCATCATCATGGTTTTACGTATTTTCTTTCCAAGTTTGAGGAGGATGTGATGATGATTAAAACTGAATACTGGCATGTAGATGTGTTCAGGCCGGGACTCTTATCAAACATGTAAAGGGCAGTTTGGACAATGCGTGCTGAAGTTACACCAACTTCCTGTCTCATGGTGAATTATCAAAATTCTGTTGGGCGCCGCGGGCAGGTCCTCCAACGAAAACTAAAGCTTTGCAATTTAGCATCAAAAGAATCACACGATGAGACCGACCAGATATGATGTGGATCTGATTTATTCTGTAGGAGTTTATTAAAGTACGACATCCTTAAAAACTGAAGAGTAAATTCAAGATGGCTGACTTCCTGTTGGCTTTAGGGTGTGGGTACGTACAGTCTTTTTTGTAGGTCCACTCAGGTTACAGGTGTCTCCTGAGTTTGGTACATGAAGGTGAGACGCAGGGCTTGTTGAACTTGTATAGGGGGCGCTGTCGAGTCATTGGTCACATGGTACCATGTGATGTTCATGTGTTTCAGGACGTAGCAGCCAGAGGCCTGGACCTTCCTCAGGTCACCTGGATTCTTCAGGTACGTGCTCACTAAAATGTTCAGGTGTGTTCACCTGTGTTTTCTTGTCCAGTCAGTGGTTTAGAGCAGTGGGTCTCAGACTGGGGTCCATGGACCCCCAGGGGGCCCTTAGGGTATGAATACATGTAAGACCTGGGTGTTCCTAATAATGTGATCACTGAGTGTCGTGTTTCTACAGTACACGCCTCCGACAGCGGCGACAGAGTACGTTCACCGCGTCGGGCGGACGGCTCGTATCGGAGGAAGAGGAAGCAGCCTCCTCTTCCTCACTCCTGCTGAGACCGCCTTCATCACTGAGCTGGCCAATCACAACATCAGGTCTCTTCACTGACAGCCAATCACCTTTCAGTGACCTGTAAAAACTGCATGTTGATAGGTCAGAGTTTCTGCTCCACTTCCTGGCTTTCACTGTGTGGGCGGGTTTTATGTGTTTCAGCCTATCAGAGATGAAGCTGCTGGACATCCTGTCCAGTCTGATGATGGATGACACCTACAAGGGGCGGGGCAAATACCACAGCAAGGTAATAATGATGATGATGATGGTTGATGATAGTTGATGATGAAGATTGTGATGGTGATGGTGATGATGAAGATTGTGATGATGATGGTGATGGTTGATGATGAAGATGGTCATGATGATGATGGTGATGATGAAGATTGTGATGATGATGATGATGATGATGGTTGATGATGAAGATGGTGATGGTGATGGTTGATGATGAAGATTGTGATGATGATGGTTGATGGTGATGATGATGATGATGATGGTGATGATGAAGATGGTGATGGTTGATGATGAAGATGGTCATGATGGTGATGAAGGTGAAGGTTCTGTGTGTCAGAGTTCTAGCAGAGCTCTGGAGCAGGAGATCCGGGAGCGAGCGACGGTTCTTCAGACGGAGTTTGAGAACTTCGTTCACTCAGACGCTTCGTCAGTGCAGAGCGCCAAGAAAGGTACGTCCCTCTGTCCGTCTGATGTCTGCTTACCTGGTTGTCTGGTCGGTTGGTTGACATGTGTCCCTGTGATGTCATCAGCGCTGCAGTCCTTCCTGCGGGCGTACACCACCTACCCCGCTCACCTCAAGCACATCTTCCACATCCGTTCGCTCCACCTGGGACACACCGCCAAGAGCTTCGGCCTCAGAGACGCTCCGCAGGGTCTAAGCTCCGCCGCCAGCGCCACGGGCCCCGGGGCCAAACGAAACAACAGGAACCAGAACAGGAACCAGGCCAGGAGTCCTGTCAAGACCCAGAACAACAAGCTGAACAGCGCTGGAGAGAGGAGGTGAGTCTACTGCTGATCTTCATCACTCACAGCTGATCTCTGCGCCGAGCCGCTGACGTCCTGAGTCGGCCGAGCAGCGCCGAACCTGTTCCTCAGCTCAGTGGAAAAGTCAGAATGACCTCCTCTCTGACCTCGTCTCCTCGACCTCCATGGAAAACGTCCTGAGGTCAAAGACGTGAAGGGGAAAGAATGTGACTGAACTCACACTGAGATTTATTTAGACTGACTTCATTTCTAACACCTGGAGGATCAATCCTCCTTTAACCACAGAAACAACCAGGATGAAATGTTGAAATAAGAAAACATGAAAGACAAAGACAAACTGACAAAGTTGAGTCAGTAAAATAATAATTAAATAGAAATAATGAGCTGAGAATAAATGATATTCAGACAGTCAGACTCTTTCACGTTAAAAGCTTTTCACTGGCAAAATGTCAGGAGGCTTTTAAGGTGAAGAAGTTAGCATTAGCTTCATTAGCAGCTTCTTATAAAAACAGGTCTAATTGACCACATGTGGACTCGTGCAGCGGACTCACTGCCCAACATGCTGTTGTCATGGTGATCAGCAGCTCAGCTCACTGACAGAGAGAGTGTGACGGACTGATAGACGCCATCGTGTGCGAGTTGTCGTTAGCAGAGTTTGCTCCACCCACTAACAGTACACACATGTATTAAAACAGCTGTTTAAATATTCTGGGCTGAGAGACAAGTGTGTGTGTGCGTGTGTGTGTGTGTGTGTGTGTGTGCGTGCGTGCGTGCGTGCGTGCGTGCGTGCGTGCGTGCGTGCGTGCGTGTGTGTCTGACACGTCTGTCTCTGCTCATTAACACACACCCCCTGCTGAGATGACTGACAGTAACACACACACACTGATCCATAATTAAAGCTGTGTTCCCTTCAGTCAGATAATGTTCACACTCCGTCCACACAGGACTGAGTGTGTGTTTAATGTGTGTGTGTTGTTGTTGTTGTTGTTGTTAACAGCTGCTCCTCACAGCGGGCTTGCCTGGACATGGTCTGACCACACACACACACACACACACACACACACACACACACACACACACACAGCCAGTGGTCAGTAGAGACATAATTACAGGTGTGTGTCCCTCTCTCTGGGCTCCGCCTCCTCAGTCCTCTGGGTGCTGGTCAGTTGTGTAATGGTGCGTTCAGATTCACACTGAGATCTCTGTGACGCGTTGAAGGAACTATTTAAAAATATTCTCTAGGACTCAAGGATGAACTGATTTTGGTGGCTAAAGGTCAAAGGTCAAGGTGACCTCACAAAACAAAAAGCAGAAGGCACTGTGGGGCAGAGTGTTCCCCAGGGGGGCGTTGAACCCTCAACCCCTGCAGTTGCCCCAGGGCAAGAGAGAGAGATATTGATTAGATAAAGACTGACGAGGGAGAGAGAGAGAGAGAGAGAGAGGAGGACACACACACACACACACACACATTGAAAGTTCTTATTGGTTCATTTCTTTTTTGTGAGTTTTTGAATCTTTATAACTTTATTTAACAGACAGTTGACATGAACGTGTGTGTCTTCCTGTTTTCTCTCTCTCTCTCTTTATTCTGTATTATGCCTTGTACTCGTTTTTTATCTTTTACTGTGTGTTGTCAGGCGTCCCTCAGTGCCTTGAAAGGTGCCTATCAATAGAATGTATTATTATTATTATTATTATTATTATTATTATTATTATTATTATTATTATTACCACACGGTTCTCCGGCGGCTGACTCAGTGTCTAGACGTTACAGAACATGAGATCAGAGGTGGAACCTCGGTGAACAGGAGCACAGAACACAGGATATTAATGTTCATCCAAATATAAGACGACACTGAACTGCTTTATGAAGAACCACCAACAGCCAGAGACAGACGTGTGACAGGACAGATAGAGACATGAGGACAGACTGAGGGTTGTGTTATACCAGGAGCATACCTGTTTGTGTGTGTGTGTCTCTGTGTCTGTCTGTCTGTCTGTGTCTGTCTGTCTGTGTGTCTGTCTGTCTGTCTGTCTGTCTGTCTATCTGTGTGTCTCTGTGTCTGTCTGTCTGTGTGTGTGTGTCTCTGTCTGTCTGTCTGTCTGTCTGTCTGTGTGTCTGTGTGTCTCTGTGTCTGTCTGTCTGTGTGGTCTGCTTCTCTGTGTGTGTGTGTGCTGTGTCTGTGTCGTGCTCGTCTCTGTGTTCTGTCTGCGATGTGTGTAGATGTTTTCGTGTCTGTCGTGATTGTGTGTATGTCTTCTTTAACCTGTGTGTGCAGTTCAGGATTTATTCTTTGTTTTTCAAGATGACAAAAGTGGTTGATCGTGTGTGTAGATGATGGTAGTTGTGAGACTCGTCTTCTGTACTATATCTAGAATGTGTCTAACTCTCTATTCATTCGATCTCTCTCATGTCTGTCTCAGTCTCTGTCTTGTTGTGTACTACATGTGTGTGCACTTAGTCTGTCTCTTGTAGTGCGCTCTTGTGTGTGTTATGTGGCTTTGTTGTGTACTAACTGTCTTGTCCTCGTTCTGTCTCTCTTCGTATGTGTCATATTCTTTGTCTGTCTGTACTTGAGTGGCTTTTCTGAGAGTGTCTGTCGTGTCTGATGTGTTGTGTGATATACAGCTTGTGATGTGTGTAGCATATTTATACACCTTAATAGCCTAGTGTCGTTCTTGATCTGTCTGTTGTGTACTCCTCTAGTGTTCTGTCTGATCTTTGGTGTTGATTGTGCATTGTATGATGCTCGTCAGTTAGTATGGTATATGGTAGGTTCGGCATTAGTAGTGATGTGTGCTGTTGTGTGTGGTGTGTCTTTGTTCTCGTCTTTATTATCCTGTGTGTCTCTGTGATCATTGTCTGGTCCCATGTGCCATGTTGCCTCGTCTGATAGTGTCGTGTGTGCGTCGTACTACGTGTGTGTTGTGTTGGTTGTGGTGTGTTGTGTCGAGATTGAATATATGGGTTTGGTGTGTCTCCTCGCTCTTGTCTATGTCGTGCTCCTTGTGTGTTTCTTGTGTGCTACTGCTTGCTAGAGTCGTGTGTGAGGTCATCTTGTGTCGTGTCTGTCGTTGTGAGTTATGTCTGTGTGTGTGTGGTCGCATTTCGAAGCATTGTTGGTGCTTTGTAGCCTTGTTGGTCCCCCTGTCGTGCTTGTAGCTGTTGTGGATGGTGTCGGCTGTGTCCTTTGATCCTGTCTGTCCTGTTCTGATACGGTGTCTTCTGTTGCTCCATGTGAGGTCATGTCTCGAGTGTGTCTTCCTGTGTCTGTCTGGTCGTGTTGTGTTATGTCTGTGTGTGTGTGTGTGTCTGTCTGTCTGTCTGTCTGTGTGTTTCTGTGTCTGTCTGTCTGTCTGTCTATCTGTACAGTTTACAGTGTCTGAGTGTGATTGTGAGCACCGTAACCATCAGCCATCCAATCATGTAATAGAGTTTAAATTATCAGGAAACTCTGCGGCTCAAACACTGCACAACAACAAGTGTTATTAATGTAAAATCAGAATATTCATACACGTCTCTGTCTGAATCCTCCCATGATCCTCTCTGTTGTCATTAGTTCAGTCCCAGAGCATCTAACTGTTAGCTTCATCCACATCCCATTTCACATTTCAGCGAATCATTTTAACAAAACAGTAAAAACACTCTGCAAATGCCTGTACTTCCTTAAGAAGCCTCCTGTCTTCTTATTGGCTGAACATCCAGAAGCTGACTGTCAGAACCACACACTGTAAATAAAGAGGGATGTTGCCTCTGTGACATCACCCACAGGTTTCTAAAGCTCAGAGTGAGCTGCTCCACTGTCGCCATCTTGGCAGTGTCTGACTCCACCCCCTAACTTCCAGTTAATCCAAATATGGTCAAAGAGGAGGGGCGTGTGTGGAGCTGAGACTTCAATGCATACGCTCACTCACCTGTCACTCAAAGAGGCCACGCCCTCAATCCTCCATAACTTCAGTCCTTAATAAAACATAAACAGGTGAGTTTTATAAACAGGTGTCATGAAGGAGGAAATCAGCTCTAGAGACCAAAACAGTTTCTGTACCAGGCTGTAAACATGTTTATTTCTGCTGTAAAGTTGGACATTTTAACATGGGAGTCTATGGGGACTGACTCTCTGTTGGAGCCAGACTCTAGTGGTCGTTAGAGGAACTGCAGCTTCATGTTTCAGGCTGGAGGTTGATGATTGGTCACTAGAGACTAGAACTCAGTAACAGAACAGAATTGATTGCAAAGGAAACTAGTCAGATCCTGTTGGGGCCTGAATCTGATCCAGGATCAGTCTGTGTTCAGTGTTTGTGTGACAGAAGCCAGTGACACTTTCCAGTACGGTGGCTGACGAGGGCAGAAACATGAACAACTAACACTCTGTATCTCCAGACAGCACAGTATCAGAGCTCCAGGCCTCTAGGGGGGGCTCTAAGAGGAACACCCAGAGACTGGATATAAGCTAATGCTAATGCTAACTTGACGTTTTCTGTTGTAAAAACTACGACCAAACAAAACAAAAACCTTTTTATGTTGCCTCTTCTCTCTCTCCAATGTCAAAGGTCAGGTCTTAGGTCTCGAAGTTCAAGCTGCTCCTCTAAGAGCTCCCCCTAGAGGCCTGGAGCTTTGTGTTTGCAGCGTGTTTTTGATATACTTCCTGCAGCCGTCGGCCACCGTAGTGCAGTGAACCAGGTGTGTGTGCGTGTGTGCTCCTGCTCAGGTAGAGTTTTGAATCCTTGAGTCTGAAGAAGCAGAAACATGAAGGTTTGATTCTCGTCTGAGAGGGTTTTGTTTTTACCTGTTCCTAAGGATTCTGTTTTTATCTTGTTCATTATCACCTGGTCACCTGGTCATGTGACATGTTGTTGTGACAAGAATATTATATGGACCAGTAGGACCCGGGTCCAGACTGAGACCAGGACCAGCACCACATTACAGTGACAGTAACCTGGGTGTTCTCTCCTCCTCAGGTTCAGTCCCGGTCAGAGGGAGGTCAGTCTGTTCCGCTCCGAGTTCTCCAGCGGGTTGGCGGGAGGTGGCACCAAGAAGAAGAAGAAGAAGAAGATGACGTTTGGTCAGTCAGGAGAGGAAGAGCAGGAGTAATGAGGAAGAGGGGGAGCAGCTGACTGACGCCTCCTCACTGTCACAGAGACACAGGCTGTGTCACCTGAGCGTTCAGTGTTCACAGGTGTCCAGACATTAAACTGTGAGCAGTTTGACACTGTGAAAGTATCAAAGCCTCAGTCCACAGAGAAATGCACACAGCCTGTATTCAGAAACTGAGCCTTAAAACCAGCCGTCAGGACTTCTGGAACTTTGTGATGTCACAACAAAGCAGTCACCAAGCCCCGCCCACCTGGACCCACCATCCAAACCTTGCAGGATTTGGTTTTTCTGCTATGTTTTTATTGGATCACTATGAATATCACTCAGTAATACTTCAGTATTAGTGTATTATTACTGCAGCTCAGTACTGTCGTACTGCAGTATTACTTTGGAACTACATTTTGTGAACCAATGAACTACCGTATCCCTCCACAGATAAGCTGTTGAAGTGTAGTAGCACTTGTGCGTAGGAATACGGTTGTTCATCGGTTCACAGAATGTATTTCCAAAGTAAAGGTCTGTTTCAAAGTGATGAATATCTTCAAAATAAAGCTTCAACTGCTATTAGTTTTTTGTTTTCTGTTTTTTAAAGTGTCTAAAACATGTTTTACCTCTGACACCGCCCACAGCAGCTCGTCACTGCCTGTAGATCAGAACCTCACATACCTCACCTCAGATCACCTGAGTCCAGGTGAGTCCTGCTCCCTCAGTTCTGTCATGTGGGAATGAAACAACAGCAACAAAACAAAAATAAACAAAGATAAATAAATAAATAAATAAATAAACTGGAGAGAACTTTAAAAGTTGAGGCCACACTGAGACCTGCACAAATAAAAGCCTATTTTCTATTAGAGCAGCTGCTGTCTGCACACACACACACACACACACACACACACACACACACACACGCTGCAGCACTTAAGGAGACATTCAGGGTCTGGTCATTCTGATGTGTAATCGCTGCCTTTTAACAGCATTAATATTTCACCCTCTTTAATATTTCATCAGCTGATTGCTCTGTAACGTCTGATCCTGAATTAAATGTCCTGTCATCTGATTGGATGACGAGCAGCTGAACAGGAAGCTGAGACATTTAGTCATTGGACAAAAAATCAAAGAGCAGCTGTTGAAGTTTCTGTTTAACATCTTTATAAACTGAACGTCTGTAAATGAAACTGGACCCACTCGAGATCAGAGACCTGGAGTAGGATATGTCTAAGGCAAAACCACCATCAGTCTGACCAAGTCAAGTCCTGAAACCCCGAACAAGACCGAGACTAGTACAGGTCAAAAGCACCATCAGTTCAAGTCTAGACCAAGTCCAGTCCTGTGATCCAGTCTAGGATAAAAACCTAACAAGACGGAAACGAATCCCTGAAAACTCCTGGAACCAGGACTTAGTCTTAGACCACGGCGTCTGCCCAGATCCTGAACCTGTTCAGACCCATTAGTGTTTGTTTTATCCTGACCTTACTTTGAGAGACTGAAGGACGCTACTCGTTAACCCTGGGATGGCATCGCTCAAAAGCTAGAGCGGGTCTTCAAGGAACTGAAGGATTCCTGGTTCGATCCCCCGGCTCCTCCAGAAACTGTGTAAAGTGCCCTCGAGCAAGACGCTGTCAAGACCGTCGTGTGCAGTTAAAGGAGACCATCAAAGTACAGACAGAACAAGAACAGAACAGGAACATGAAGAGTTCTCTACGTTTATTGAAAATGTAAAAAATGAAATCAAACGACTACAGACGCGTTTTTATCAAAACATCTCAACTCCAGTCTCCACCCATCTGAACATTGTCACGTCATGATGGACAACATCCAAGGTCTGGACCTGTTGGTTTGATGTCCTGTTCTCCGGTTTCTGTTGTTGTGATGTCATATGTCCTCGACCAATCACGATCAACAGCTCTGAAAGAACCTGAACTTGGATTCAGTATCAGCTCCTGAGCCAGAGTCCGGTTCCAGGATCTCGTCCCTGAGCCGAGTGGAGAAACAAAACCAGAACCAGAGACGGTGGAAATGGGGCACTGGTGTCAGCGGGGGTGTGGTTCAGTGTGGGTCAGGATGTGGGGCAGCAGGGGTGGGGCTGCGTGCTGGTGGGTGTGGCTTCTGTACAGGTATAGGTCCATTGTGGGCGGGGCAGGCGGGTACAGGTAGTGTGTGGGCAGGAACATCCTGCCGGCCTCAGCCAGCAGCTCCAGACCAACAGCTGACTGACGCTTCCACTTGGTCCTGACAGAGGAAGCACACAGGTGAGTCCAGTGTCAACAGGAAGTAATGACTGTACCTGCAGGTAAACACCTCATCTTGTTTGTTCTTTATTAGTTTGAATCAATTAGAATATGTACTTAAATAAATACAAACTTCTTAAAAAGTAAAATCTTTCTAAACGTTTGTCAGACTCATTCAGTCCTCCAGCCAATCACAATGCAGGATTCTCTGTGGGCGGGGACCAATGAAAATAAATCAATAAATAAAAAATCAGCGCGCGAGGCCCTCACTCCTGCTGCACTAAAAGCTCCAGATTTGTTTCTGCATTAATTATTGATCATTAATTACAACACACACTGTTGAATTATTGATCACAGTGTTAATTATTAATCAGAGCATGTCTCACATGTGTGTGTCTGCAGTGATACTGAACCCAGACACACAAACACACGTTCAGTCTACAATACGTGAATCACTTCTTTTCTTTATAGTGTTTAAACGTTTTCTTTTGTTTCTGTGAAACAATTATATTCTGTGAGATTATCTCCTGATGGTGTTTTACGTCTGTTACACACCAATGTCACACAATAATGCTACACAAAAAACACAAAACAACCAACTAAAAACACAAAACAACCACAAAGACACAAAACAACCACAAAGAGACACAAAACAACCACAAAGACACAAAACAACTACAAACACAAAACAACAACAAAAAGACACAAAACAACCACAAAGACACAAAACAACTACAAACACAAAACAACCACAAAGACACAAAACAACCATAAAGATACAAAACAACCACAAAGAGACACAAAACAACCACAAAGACACAAAACAACCACAAAGAGACACAAAACAACCACAAAGACACAAAACAACTACAAACACAAAACAACAACAAAGACACAAAACAACCACAAAGAGACACAAAACATCCAGAAAGAGACAAAACAACTACAAAGAGACACAAAACAACCACAAAGAGACACAAAACAACCACAAAGACACAAAACTACCACAAAGACACACAAAACAACCACAAAGAGACACAAAACAACTACAAACACAAAACAACAACAAAAAGACACAAAACAACCATAAAGACACAAAACAACCACAAGACACAAAAGAACCACAAAGAGACAAAACAACCACAAAGAGACAAAAAACTACAAAGAGACACAAAACAACCACAAAGACTCAAAACAACCACAAAGATACAAAAAACCACAAACACAAAACAACTACAAAGAGACACTAAAGAGCAGCAGCATGATCAGTGTAGTTTTGTGGTTGTCTTGTGTCTCTAAGTCTGGAGGTCTCGCTCCTATGAACTCCTGTGAGCCTGTTTGGTCTCTGGTCGGGGCCTGTGTGGGGTTACCTCCTGTTCTGGTACCAGGTCTTCACCTGGGTGTCACTGAGTTGCAGTGAAGCAGCCAGCTCCATCCGGTCCTGGACGCTCAGGTATTTCTGCTTCTGGAAGCTTCTCTCCAGCCGTGACAGCTGCTGGTCGCTGAACGCCGTCCGAGCTTTACGAGGCTTCTTCAGGCGGCCTGCGGCAGGGTCCGAGGTCCCGCCACGTACTGAGTGATTGACAGGTGGAAATGACATCATGACAGCATTAATTGATCAGACTGGATTTATTCTAATGCAATTGAAGCTTCTGTTAAAACAACCAGATGATGAACATGGAGATGAAGATCATCACTGATGCAGGACTTTAAACTGGATTAAAGAGATTTACATGAAGCGCAGACCTGGTGTTAACTGGTTAAACTGGTTTGTCATACTGTTGTGTTTTATTTTCTCTGACATGTATGAATACATGAATCCGATCAAATTCAGAGAAAACTGATATTTTCTGATCAATAATCAATGAGCAGCTCTGATGTTTCTGTCCTTAATTATCTCCTTTATTAAAACCATCAAAGGCTCCAATAAAAAAGCATTTATTAATTTTATTTTTAAAGCAGCAGTTACATATTACATCTTATTATAGTTATTATTACACTTTATTTTTTATTATTTCACTTTATTTTTATTATTACACTTTATTATTTAACTTTTTTTTATAATTTCACTTTATTTGTATTATTTAACTTTATGTTTTTATTATTACCCTTGTTATTATGACAGAAAGAAGAACATCTATCAAATAAATTCTGAATCTTATTTTTTATTTGTCGGTTTGTCTGTCACCTGATTTGACTTTTATCAAACATGTTTATTGAGCCACTGAAAGTTGTTCACAGTAAACTGTCAGTAAGAGAGAATTATAGAATGATATTCATGTACATTCAGGAATAAAAGATTTGAACATTATCAAAAAAAAACAATTGAAAAAGAAAATAAGTGAGTGAACAAATAGTTAAAAAATTTCACTGAATGAAAATTGACAAAAATAAATGTAAGTGATAAATAATAAATAAAGGAGAAAAGATGAATCTAAAACAACCTTTATCTTCCTCTTATAACAAATCTGTTTCCCTCTCAACCATTTACTCATTAATGAGAAAGAAACAGAGTAAGCATGGTTTTAATTTAATTTAAAACTTCTCATAGAAACAAACCAGGGCAGAGGTTTCATTTACTTCTGGTTCTGCTTCTGGTTCTGTCAAATTAAAGGTAAGTCAGTTTCACAGGTTTCTTTTTTTATTTCACATATTAAAACTGAATAAACCAACTTTTCTCTTCATTTTTAATTTAATTTTTATTTAATTTAATATTTTATTTTATTTTATTTTATTTTATTTTATACAAAATAATATTATTTTATTTTTCTCCTACCTCTGGACTCACTGTCAGAACAGGAGCTGCTCAGACTTTTATCCTGGTAGTCTCCATCCTGTCCGGACTGAAACGGCTCGGCTTCTAGTTCAGCCTGTCCCGGGTCAGAGAAAGGCCGACAGTCCGCTAAGATGTCCCGGATCAGGAAGGAGGAGCTGACGGAGCGGGGCTGGGGCTGACCGGCCAGCAGAGGAGACTCCAGCCGGGGAACGGGCTCTCTCCGCGGGGAAGGAGGCGCCGAACAGCCGCTGCTGCTGCCCGGGCTGAGCTCCGGGGGGTCTGTCCGGGAGAGGAGCGCGCCGGGCGGCCTGAGGGCGAGCAGGGAGTCGATGCGGAACCTGGAGCAGCCGGAGGCAGAAACCTCCATCTCCGGCCGGACTCAGAGTGGCTTCAGTCAGAGGGTCAGTAGAAACATCAGAGGAGAGACAGTAAAAGTCCAGCTGCAGAGTTTCATCTATTTTCTCAGTTTAAAAAATCCAGAATCGAATTAAGAAAAAATTAAAAAGTGATTAACACCTGGTGATGATCATTGATCCAGATGGAAAATGCATCGATCGATCAGCAGCTGATTTCAGCACCACGGACAGAGAGAGAGAGAGAGAGAGAGAGAGAGAGAGGTTTGTTAAAATGAAGAAAAAAGGATGTAAAGATTAAACTCTGCTCCTCCTCCAGCTGATGGTGTGTGCCAACTGCTTTTTGTGGTGTGTTGTCTGTGTGGTGTGTGTGTGTCTGTGCTGTGTGTCGTGTGTGTTGTGTTTGTCTGTGGTGTGTGTCTGTGTGTGTGTGCGTTTGTCTGTGGTGTGTGTCTGTGTGTGTGTCTGTTGTGTGTCTGTGTGGTGTGTGATCTGTGGTGTGTGTAGGTGTCTGTGTGTGTGTGTGTGTGTGTGTTCTGGGTGTGTGTCTGTGTGTGTGTGTGTGAGTGTGTGTGTGTGTGTGATGTGTGTGGCTGTGTGTGTGTGTGTGTCTGTGTGTGTGGTGTTGTGTGTGTCTGTGTGTGTGTGTGTCTGTGTGTGTGTGTGTCTGTGTGTGTTGTCTGTGGGTGTGGGTGTGTGTGTGTGTTTGTGTGTCTGTGTGTGTGTTGGTGTGTGTGTGTCTGATGTGTGTGTGTGTGTTGTGTGTCTGTGTGTCTGTGTGTGTTGTGTGTGTGCTTGTGTCTGTGTGTGTGTGTGTGTGTCTGTGGTCTGTGTGTGTGTTGTCTGTGGTGTGTGTGTGTGTGGTTTGTCTCTGATTGTGTCTGTGTCGTGTGTTTGTCTGTGTGCTGTGTGTGTGTGTTTGTCTGTGGTGTGTGTGGTGTGTCTGTGGGTCTGTGTGTGTTTGTCTGTGTGTGTGTGTGTGTTTGTCTTGGTGTGTGTGTGTGTGTGTGTCTGTGTGTGTGTTTGTCCTGTGTGGTGTGTCTGTGTGTGTGTGCTGTCTGTGGTGTGTGTTTGTCTGTGTGTGTGTATTGTTGTGTGTTCTATCGTGTGTGTTGTGTCTGTGTGTGTGTCTGTGTGTGTGTTTGTCTGTGTGGTGTGTGGTTCTACTTTGTGTGTGTGTGTGTGTGTGTGTGTGTGTTGTGTGTGTGTGTCTGTGTGTGTGTTTGTCTGTGTGTGTGTGTGTTTGTGTGTGTGTAGTAGAGATTGAGTTGACTGAGTTGTAGTTTGTTTGCGTTATGTTTCTGTTGTTGTTTACATTAAGTAACATAGAAATACATTAATAAATCAACACAGTTGACTCAGACTGTATTACTTATAATTATTATAATTATTAATAACTGAATTATTATTAACTGTGTTCTACTGTCTGTGTATATGTGTGTTCATGTAAATATGTGAATATAGCCCAAGATATTTATTATTCAATTGTTATAACAACATTCATCATATAACCACTGTTACCATGTTATTTTTTTCATTATTATTATTGTATAGGATGGACTCTTACTAGAACACACACACACATGCACACACACACATACACACACACTCGTCCATGATTGAAGAGTTAACATGTTCTGTGCTGATTGGTCAGATTGACTCTGCTGCTCTCAGGAAACAGCTGAACTCTCTCATAACCTACATCACATGAGAAAAAGACATGAACTAAATATGTTCCAGCCTGAAAGACATTTTTTTCTGGAACATTGACATCATTCAATCATTTCAAGTTCAGCCTGAATAAAGTTTTCACTGTGATTTAAACAACACATTTCAATCAATAAAACCTAGAGAGAAATAAATAGAAAAGTGTCATTTAACGTTGTATATACAGTCACTTTATACTGAAGTACATTAGTTAACAGTGTCCTCAGCATAAATTCTACATTATATTTCATATGCAGTCATATAAATGATTTGCATATAGAAAAAGCAGTGGTCCTGGTCTAGAGCCCTGAGGGACTCCTCCTCCTCCACCTCTTCCTCCTCCCTTTGTCCAGATGTGAATAGAAGAACTTCACACAGATTCATGACTCTTTATTGTTTTATTCGCATTAGTGTTCAGATGTTCTGACAGAAGTTCAGTCTGTTTTGTCCTCAGGTCAGTCCAGACTGTATGTCCCCTGACCCTGATGTCCTCTCCTGGACACAGAGTCTGACTGATGAGCCCTGAGCGCCCGGAGACGAGCCTCCTGGTCCCTGAAAGTGTCCAGAGCAGGAGGGACCTGGGGAGGAGGAGGATGAGTTGTATTAGCTATCCTCAGAAAACTCAGAAAAACAGGTGACACTGAGTTTTTGTCGAGTTGTTGTTATCGAATTGTTGTCAAGATGTTGTCAAGCGTTGTTGAGTTATTGTCGAGTTATTGTCGAATTGTTGTCCAGTTGTTGTCAAGGTGTTGTTGTCCTTTGTCAAGTTGTTGTCAAGTTGTTGTCAAGTTGTTGTCAAGTTGTTGTCGAGCTGTTGTTGTCGAGTTGTTGTTGAGTTGATGTCAAGTTGTTGTTGAGTCAAGTTGTCGTCAAGGTGTTATTGTCGAGTTGTTGGCAAGTTGTGGTTGAGTTGTTGTTGAGTTAATTTCAAGTTGTTGTCGAATTGCTGTTGTTGAGTTATTGTCAAGGTGTTTTTGAGTGGTCAAGTTGTTGACAAGTTCTTGTTGTCCAGTTGTTGTCGTCAAGTTGTTGTCAAAGTGTTGTTGTCGAATTGTTGGCAAGTTGTTGTTGACGAGTTGTCAAGTTGTTGTCGAGTTGCTGTTGTTGAGTTGTTGTCGAGTTGTTGTCGAGCTGTTGTTGTTGAGTTGTTGCTGAGTAGAGTTATTGTTGAGTCAAGTTGTTGTCGAGTTGTTGTCAAGTTGTTGTCGAGTTGTTGTCAACTTGTTGTTGAGTTGTCAAGTTGTTGTCAAGTTGTTGTTGTTGAGATGTTTTGACAGCAACAGTGTGTGTGTGTCACCTGTGAGAAGCGTGGCAGTCTGAATGGTGTCTGTGTGACAGGCAGAGCTCTGCTTCTCCTCAGCAGACTGGTCCTGGTGTCTGGAATACAGCCTGGTTTAATCTACACACACACACACACGCACACACACGCAAAACCTTGTAAAGATTAGCTGACAAATCAAGTCATGGTTTTATCTGCTTGCTCTGGAGCTTTCAGCTGTATCACATGATCATCGTCAGCAGGGGATGTGTTGCAGTTGTCATGGAAACATTCAAACTTCTGTATTGTGAGCAGCTGTAGGCGTCTCTCTTCAGTGATGACTGAGTGAACTTCAGCAGCTGATGAAGACTGACACAGCTGAAAGCTCCAGTACAAGTAAGTAAGTAAGTTAATAGTCCTTGAGTGTGTTTCCATGTGTGGATTGTGATGTCATTGGGTGAAATGTATTGACACGTACTAATGTCATATTTCAAAATAAAACTGTATCAATAATCAGAAATCATGTTCATGTGGAGACCACACACTCTCTCTCACACACACACACACACACACACACACACACACACTCACACACACACACACACACACACACACACACACACACACACACTCTCTCTCTCTCACCCTGTGCAGCTCTCTGTGGTTGCTGGTTGGATTCCTGCTCAGCTGTTGGTCGAGCCAGCGGCGAGCGTACTGATGAGAGAGGAGGTCTGACAGCGGAGATGACGCCCTGATGGACAGATCCACCACGTTCATCAATCACTTCAATCAATAATCAACAATCAATTCTGTGTTTTCACTGTCTGACCTTGTTGTGACTCCAAAGGTGATGTCGGGCACCGCCGGGCGCCATGATGCCCCTCCTTCTTGCTGTTTGGGGGCAGGAGGCTTTGTCCTGGCCCCGCCCCCCTGGGCCCGGTACTGACTCAGCTCTTTGGACGTTACCAGACCGGACTTCACGGCTTCTCGGTTCAGAGACACGAAGTCCGGGACGAGCGGTCGCTGTGGAGCAGACTCTCCTCGTCTGGACTGGACCCTCCAACTGGACAGAACTGACACAGCACAGGGACAGGGCTGGAAACTACAACTCCCAGCAGGCTTCACTGCCCTGGCTTCATGGGAGTTGTAGTTGTTGAATGTCAAACTACAAAAGTCTTATTTTTGAAATTGTATTTGTAAGATTAAAGATGCCAAAATAAAAGCAGAGAAATTAAATATAATACATGACTGTCCTCACAAAGATAGACACACCAGAACTGTGTGTGTGTGTGTGAGAGAGTGACAGCAGTGATTGTTGCCTGGAGGGACGTCTCCTTCACACACACACACACACACACACACACACACTCTCTCTCACACACACACACACACACACACACACACACTCTCTCTCACACACACACACACACACACACACACACACTCTCTCTCACACACACACACACACACACACACACACACTCTCTCTCACACACACACACACACACACACACACACACTCTCTCTCACACACACACACACACACACACACACACACTCTCTCTCACACACACACACACACACACACACACACACTCTGACAGCTGACCGCTGCCAAACCACACACACACACACACACACACACTCTCAGACTCTCTCACACACACACACACACACACACACACACACTCTCTCTCACACACACACACACACACACACACACACACTCTCTCTCACACACACACACACACACACACACACACACTCTCTCTCACACACACACACACACACACACACACACACACAGTTGTTCATGTTAGTTTCATTATCATTGTATATGTTTATTATTTATTTATTTATATTGTTGTTTTACCTTCAGCCACGCCCCCATCTCTCAGCGAGCTGCTGTTGGTTCCAAAAGTGAAATCTGGACCAGGAACTGACAAACCTCTGGACCTGGTCTGACCCAGAGACGCCTGCAGGGGGAGAGGCGACTTAGTTTCTTTTATTGTGAAAAACTGATATGACGGAAACTGAAAAGTGAAATGTTGTGATTTGTTTACCTTAATCAGCAGCGGATTGGTCATCATGGAGTCCCTGACCACGCCCACCCTCGGTGATGACATGTTTCCGGTCAGACTGATGATGCTGATGAAGATGAAGGCTGATGATGAAGAGCAGAGTTTCTAACAGGTTAAACACAGCGACAGCGCTGCCTCAAAACGTCACGTCAATAATATTTGTTTTTCTCTGCTGAGCGGCAGACTCAGTTTCCGGTTCTTCAGCACCGTCACATCTGTGCTGCAGTTTACCTGGATACACCTGTGCTACTTTAAACACGGTATTTAGTCGTTGTTTAGCCTACAGATACTCACCTGTGTTACACCGCGTCCTCCGGCCGAGCTGCTCTGTTGCTATGGTAACATGACGCTAATGTTCCGTTCAACCAGAAGTTCAAAGTTTTCAAATTAAAGTTGAACAGAGTGAGACCTCACTGACAGCAGGGACACGTTTAATCTGAAAACGGTGAGCAGCGTTTTGCTCCTGTTTCCGGGTTGAATGACGTGTTTCCTCGGTGTCAGCCAATCAGCAGCGCATACGTAACACAACAGGGTGTTCAATGCACCATCGTCTCCCACTAAATAAACGTTTGTCTACGTTTTGTCTGGTGTCCTGTTAATGCAGCGCAACGATTGGCGAGATGTTCTTTTTATTTATTTATTTATTGAACACGGAACAAACAACAACTCTGAACAATGACATGAACTGTAACACACAAAATCATATTTCAATTGAGAACACTGCAGATCTGAAGCTCAACTAACATTAATTCAAATATGTTTATAAAAATTTGATATTAAAAATCCTTCCATCCATCAGTGCAGAGAAACCTCCTCCTCTTTCTGTCGTCCAGAAATCTCATCCACTGGATTTGAGATTTTAAATCAACTTTAAAAAAGTCACATTTTAGTTTGACTAAACTTACCAACAATTCAGTTAATTAATTAATTAATTAATTAATTAATTTATTTATTTATTTTAAGCAGAAAAGTAGATTTCCTGCCCAGATCAGTTCAGTTCACCTGAAACACCTTGAAGTGTTTTTATGAACCCATACTGAATCCAGTAATGACGTTTTATTAACAATCTTCATAAGAGTCAAAAAGGCTCAACTCAATCAGAATAAACAGAAACAAGTGAGCGGGCAGAAATAAGAATAGGAATACAGGAAGAAAGAAAATGAATGAACAGATAAATATAATAAACTTAATTAACAAGAAAACATAGAAGACACAAATAAACAAAGGGACAAAATAAGAGAACATTCAGGTATTAAAGTGCATAAATATTCATACAGATTTGGGATTTTTTAATATAACAGCACTTCTTATTTTTCATATAATATTATTTCATTTAAAAAGGCATCAATAGGAGGTTTTTCAAGAAACCACATTTATGTATCAAGCATTAATTATTTTTCCCAAACTACATTTTTTAGTTTTCCATTTAGAGACCACATTTTATATTTTTATATGTTAGCATTAGCTGCACAGATATCAATAGTTAGTCAATGTGTGAGTCACATGATCGTGTAGTGTTTTTTTATAGCAGCAGTACAGTGTTATAACTCAGTTCACAACAGTTTTATCCAAATTAAAAATGTTTTTTATTGTGTTACACTCTTACAAACATGAGCATCAGTTTGTGTTTGTTTTAAATGGAGTGAAAACACGTCAGACGAGGACAAACTGTGTTTTCTGAAGAATATTCGCACAGAAAAAATAATTGTCCTGAAGGACTGAGTCTGTTTTTATAATGAAGAGCGTCTCTGAAGTGACTCGACGTACTGAACAAGTTCATGGGACAACTCTGTCACCTGCTGTTGTAAGTCTGTACCTGCACTGGGCAGTAGCCAAAGGATTGTGGGTAATTCTTAAAGCTCATGGGAGGAGTTTAAAGGTGTGAAAGGGTGAATTTCAACCTGAACCATGATCCTAACCTGAACCAATATTTATTTCAATGTAAGAATTCAGATGTTGCAACATAATAAAATACATGAAATTTCACTAATTAACTTTTGCTTTTTTGTCTCAGTAGTATTCTAAAATACAGTGTTTGACAATAATATTATAGTATCATTCACTTACTTAATAATATTCATCAAAGAACAGTTATGTTCTGAGTTTTCTTTTGTGTAAAACATAGAACATAGAACCTACCTCGAGTCAAAATAAGTAAAAATAAACGATAAAATCATAAGAGGTAAATGAAATAATTCCCCAAATAACTCGTTATTAGGCTTTAAAACAAGCAATTATTGTCTGTTGTTGCTATAGGACAAAATCAGCTGCATATTTTTTCTATTTTGAACTCAAATGTTAAAACACGCTGTTGTGTGTCTGTTGTGATCCTGCAGCTGAAAGAACATCATGTTCTTCACACACTGACCTGGACACGAGGTCACTATCGGTCAAACAAACTCACTTTGGAAAAGTTCGGGACAGTTTGAAAGAAATACTGCTCACGGAAAAAACACTTCTCATCTCCAAAACAACTTCTTTCATTGAATGTGTCGTCTGTCTTCCTGTGGGGGCGGGTCTAACTGAGCATGTGCAGTGTCAGTGTCATCACTGTAGCGTGTTTCTGATTGGAGAAATTAGACTTGTTGCAATCGTCCCCGTCTCCCCTACCTCTGTTCCCTCAACGCAACCAAACTGAGAGTGAAAACTAAAGCCAGAAAATCTTTTTGCCCTGAAGGCAACACAGCTGTCACCACGAGCCTGAGCAGCTCTGAGATTTATTTAGACAGGACACATCTCACAGAATCACACAGGTAACACAGGTAACTCCAGGATCCTCTGTCACTCTGCTGTGACACTTCAGGGACTCAACAGGACAGTAGGAGAAGGTTAAACAGACGCCTGAACTGTTCACCTGACTGAGGAATATTAAAAAATATATCATCAATTTAATCATTAACGCAGGAAAACTTCATGATCACACCTCTGTTGTTCTATGAAAGGAGAGCTCCGTGAATAACTCAATGACACCTGAACCGTCGGCCTGCAGGGGGCAGCAAAGAACGCTGCTGCATTCATGGACCATAGCAAAAACGGTGACGCTTGTGGTAAGAAAGAAAAAACAAAAGTTCAATTTGCCAATATTACGAGACAAAAAGATTAAAAAAAGATCTTATTTTGTAAAATGTTTTGAAATAGTGATGAATACCTGGTACAGAGTCCAAAGACCCAGAAATTACATAAGGATTGTTGAGTATTTTTGTTTGAAAAATGACTTTATCAATCAAGTCTGTAAATAGCTGCATGTTATTTTTTTGCTGATTGACTCAGCAATTAATTGATTGATCATTAATCATTTCAGCTCTAGAATTGTAGCACAGAAGAAATGCTGAGTGATTCCTCTTCATGCTGTATATAGAAAAAAAGAGTAACTTTGACCTTTAACTTGAATTTTCTTTGACAAATATAGATCTTTTTTTTTTAAATAGCACTTAATGTTGCAGCTTCTCATTTTCAGAATAATTTCCTTGGGAAAAAAAGATGTTATGTTAGTTTGATTAGTTGTAATTACAGTTGTGTTGAGTTTATCATCAGATGCTGATTGAAAAGAGAAAATGAAGAGAGAAAATACAAAATATGAATTTAATCTGAATTAAATAATCAATGAATAAATTGTATAATAAATCAGTATAATAAATGTAATACAATATTTCACAATCAGATAATTAACATTTTAAGACATTTTAACCAGTTTACAGTGTGAAACCACTTTGTTTTCTGTCTGTTTCTCACCAGACACTGAGATCTTCGAGCTAAACATGAACGCAGCACGGTGGTTACGTCAATCCACGCGTCAGCCTCGTCTTGAGAAAGATCGTCAATTGAAACACGTCTCACTCAGAGGTTAAAACAAAAGCCCTTCCTCCAAACGGACCAAATAAGAGCGTTACCGTAGCAACCCGAACCGATCAGATAAATTGATCATCGTGTTCGGTTCTTTCCTCTGTCTGTGTGTCTGTTGTCGTTGATACAGTAAATGTATACACGGTGTGTTCCCTCGGTTGTGTTAGTTTCTTTGTATCCGGAAAGTTGCGCGCAGTGAGCCGTCTGTCCTTCCTGCTGCTCCGGTAAACACACGTCTGTGTTCGCGGGGCTCCGCTCTCATGTCTCTCCGGCTCTCTCCGCTTGTATTTGGCAGAAATCCTCGAGCCCTGTGACCGCCTCCCTCGGTGTGCCTCTCCCCGCGGACGGCAGGGATGCTTCGGTTCTGGTTCAAAGCGGCGGTCGTCCTCTGGCTCGTCCCCGGGTGTCTGGGAGCCGCAGCCCGGCTGTACACGGAGGAGGACCCGCTGGTGATCCTGAGCAGCAGCAGCTTGAAGTCCACCGTCAGTAACTCGTCCTCGGCCTGGCTGGTCCAGTTCTTCTCCTCCTGGTGCGGACACTGCATCCAGTACTCCAGCACATGGAAGACCCTGGCCCAGGACGTCAAAGGTATTTCATCACACACTCGGTCCGGTTCTGTCTCCGCCGCTGTCCGTTCTCTCTGTATCAGGAACACCAGACTCCATTTACTGCACCGCTGTTTCATCCAGCTCGTGTTGAATGCTGGACTTCCAATGTGAGTCTGTTTGGTGTCTGATTTTTCATTATCCCCTCTTCAGTTCGGCTTTAATAACAATCCAAAAATCAATTCATTAATTACAATAAAATCTCAACAAATCTCGCGAGGCTCGCGCCGCTGAGGTGTTTTAATATGTGTGTAACAGGTGAAAAGTAGCAGGTTTTTGAATGAAGTTCTGACTGTGGGTGGTTCTGTTCGCGAATGGCTCCGTGCTGTGATCTCATTGTAGAGAGAATCTTAATATGACTTTAATACATCAGCTGTGACTGAATCTGTCATGAACGAATAGGTAAACGAGCGCGTGTTTCCAGGCAACAGACAGGTGACAGTCGGGTTCAGGCTGGTCGCTGCTTCACACCTGAATCACCTGTTTACAGATCAAATAACAGATTCGATGAGGATTTTTGCTCCAGGTTGATCAGTGTGATCAGTTACAGAGGTGTGAGGTTAAAGCGGGATCTCAGTCCAGGTGTTACCATGAGCTGGTTCAGCTGGTCAGATGATCAGATGTCACCAACTACACCTGTTCACTTTGATCCAGCAGTCTGTCCGTCTGAAGGATTCCATAGGCCTCTGAGGCAGCGTTTATATTCAGAGGGGGGTGGGGGGTCAGTGGGGCCTCTTAAATAATGTTAATCCAACCATGACAGCTGTTCTTACTAGTTCCTTTCAGATGAAGATTTTACATAGAAAATATATGATGATCTAATAACAGACCAGACCAATCACCTGATCGACAGCAAAGTGATCAACTATTGTGATATCAGTCAGTAGAGTTTAGTTTGTCAGCAACAGACTGATGAGGTCATCACCTGTTCATTGATGACATCACTACACACTGAGCTGGGTCCACTCTGCTGACACTCAGAGAGACGGTCCCATCATTTGTTGATGTTTCCAACACACACACACACACACACACACACACACACACACACACACACACACACACACAGCAACTGGTGGGAATCACTCCCCGTCTTTAGTCTCCATCTGCCTCCATCTGTCCCTGGGGAATAACTCACCCAAAGAACCAGCTGCTGCTCTCTCACACACACACACACACACACACACACACACACACACACACACACACACACACACACACACTCACACACACTCGCTCCCTTTATGTGGACCTGCTGTCAGAGTCAAAGGACGTCTGAGAGACAAAGACCCTGATGCCCCCTGACCCCTGATAGACAGACAGCTGGGAGACAACACACACACACACACACACACACACACACACACACACACACACACACACACACACACACACAGTCCAGGTCTTTGTCAAACGAGGTCCTGGTGAAACATGTGGGTAGGAACCTTCAGCATGTTGTACAGTGTTGCCCGGGGGACACATTGTCTGTCGGGTGCTTGTGTTGAGTGTCCAGATGTGTTCACAGTGAACATACAGACAGGGCACAGTTCTTCTTCTGTGGTCTTTATATAGAAGGAGATCCACTGACTGAAGAACTGAGAACGCTTCTATAGCAATATCCCATAATCCACTGGGAGCAGTGATGTCACAGGAAGGGCATGAAGCTTGTTCTTCATTTCATATTTTAATCGACATTAAAAAGAGGAATTGTAAAAAGAATTCATAAATGAACGATTAATAATCAATCAATACTTCAGGTTTACAGAAACAACATAAAACTCTTATTAAATAAAACATTTATAAATACATTTATTATTCATTCATGAATAAATGATAGAATTTAAAAAACTCTTTGAAAAGACACTTTTTTAAAAGAAAATAAATAACTGGATTCAATTTCCATTTCCATTTTCCAGCTGCTTTCCCTGTTAGCTAATAGATTAGCTTAGCCATGTAGCTTCTCCTGTTAGCCTCTCCATGACACTCGGGACCTTCAGTGCTGGTAAAACCAGGCTAAACAGCAAGCTCTCTGATTGGTTGGAGAGCTAACCAGTTGGCTTTACCAGCAATGAAGGGTAAAAGGAGAAGCTAAATGGCTAAGCTAATCTATTAGCGCACAAGAAAAGCAGCTGGAAAAAGGAAATAGAAATTGAATCCAGTTATTTATTCTCATTTTTAAAATGTCTTTTCAAAGAGTTTTCTACTCTGTTGTTTATTCATGAATTAATAAATGTATTTATAAATGGTTTATTTATTTATTATTATTTATCTGAAGTATTTATTGATTGATTAATCATTTGTTTATAAAACCTGTAATACCTATTTAAATATGAAATTAAGGAAACATTTTACTTCTGTTCGTGTGACATCACTGCTCCTCCATGATAATTGCTATTAAAACAAAAATAGCTAATAGCATAGCTAAGTTATCATTCCACATACACACACACACACACACACACACACACATGCACGGTTTTCCCTCATAAACATCAGGTTCTGCAGGTTGTTAATAACTTACACTTGCTGTGGTTGCTATAGTAACCCCACAACCTGAGGACCCTACAGTACAACCTGGGCTGACCAGGAAGCTGCCTGAACATAACAACATATAACCCAGTCTCGCCCCCCACCCCCCACCCCCCAC